TGTGTTCACTGTGCTACAGTACACAATCACTGTGCTACAGTGTATCATGATTATTCTATACTCCACTCTCACTGCTCGATATGGCTATAGCCAACTGTGATTGAAAGAAAGAACGGATGCATCAGGATAAACTGTACATAAGGAGGTACATGCACTGATAACAATATTGATATGCTCATAAAGATATGTCTTGGCCAGTGGCGTTTTTTATCTCTATCGTTTACAGATATGTCTCGGTATCGCACATCAGGACTCCTACAGGAACAATTGTGCGAGATTTAATAACTGAATCTTTCCATGGCAGGCAGGTAACTGAGCAGCTGAGGGGAGGTGGGGCTGGCTGTCACTGCCCTTTCCTGAGAGTGCATGGTGTGGTTTCCACAATCATGGCCACATGTCCTGAGATACGCGCTAATTCAATAAACCCCCCCACACACACACACACTCTGGAGACATCAGGATAGTGTGAGAGTCTGTGATAGCATCTCCCTGCATCCCACGAGGCTATTAAAGTCCCACATTCGCCCGCCCTACGGCATGCTAACTCAAGCCAGAGCTCCATTAACATAGAGACATGCTGATAAAGACAAGCGCTGTGCTGCTGTCAGCCATCACACTGATAGAGGTGGAGAGAGAGGGAGATAGGGAAAGAGGGAGAATGTGTATGTGTGTGTAGGGGGGGCATACACAAACTATACACAGAGCTTTCCAGATGTCCCCCAGAAGACTGGGCTCTGTAAGAGGGCCACCTGTCAGCACCTCTTTTATCATGAAGTAGGAGAGAGTGTTTGAGTGAGAAAGAACGGGATGAAGAGGAAGGAGGGGGAGGTATGGAGACACAAAGGGACAGAGAGGGCGAAGGTCAGACAGAGAAAGATTATAAGGGAAAGATAAAGCCGTGATGAAGAGGAGAAGACCACTAGGGGACCTGATTTAACATATTCACAATCCTCAAAAACATCGACAAAATCATTCCAACGGACTCTTCTAGGATCAATCAGTGTGAATCCCAAACCCAAAATCTAAGAGGACACAGGTGGAAACTATTTAGAGGTGCATTTGAACTCAGATCCGGTGGCGGCGTCTTTACCCCAAGGGTTGTGGGAGAATGGAGCAAGATGCCCAGCCATGTTGTTGGAGCCCATTCTAAACCCTGGCCTTTTTACGAAACAGTTAGAGGAGACTGATTAGTTGCTTGCAACCAAAACGAACTACAGTGGGGGGTGGGGTGGGCAAAGGGTCTCCTCCTGTTTGTAACAACAACAAGAAGAAAAGCAACAAGAAAAAGAGAGAATGAGAGAGAGGAGACACAGGGAGTGAGGGATGAAAGAAAGGAGAGAACAGTGTCCTACAGGATTATTTGGAGCAGGGGTTGAAACAGGACCCTGCTGCCCCCCTCTAACATTCCCAGCTCATCCCCAGCTGTCACCAGACACAGCCTTGGTCTTGT